TGCACCGCTCAGCTACCTGAACGGCAGCAGCTACATTGCCGCCATCAACGCACGCCTGCATGGTTCGCCTTTGGATGAGGAGAGAGAGAGAGAGAGAGAGACGTGCAGTGCAGAGTGTTTGCTTCTTTGGTTGCTTGTGTGGAAAATGGCATGTCAACAACGCAGACAGGAAGGACCACCAACCAACAGGTGGTTTGGCAAAATTGCACAAATCACCCATCCGCGTTGTAGAATTTTCCCTAATGCTTTGAGCTGAATTTCCGCAAACAGCAACCCACGCCGTGTGAAGGAGATCGCCCGTTCGTTTTTCCCACCCTTCCCACCCCCATCATCACATCACGGAGACGCTGACTGAGGCACCACACGAGGGCAAGGGCGGGCGATGCTTGAGTGGGTACGGGACTGGCTTGCCCCGTACGTGCAGCTGTCAAAGAGCCGTGATGAGCGACAGGGCATAAACAACCTCCGCATTGGACTGAGCACCATCATCGTCGCCCACCACGCTGGCATGCCATATGGAAACGCAGGTGTGATGTGATGTGCTGTGCTGTGATGTGATGATGTGTGTGTGTGTGTGTGGTGTGTGATGTGTGATGTGTGCTTTGTAAGATACAATCGTGGGGTTGTAGATGTGTTTACTGATGTGAAGCAGCCGACATCAGTGGGCGATGCCTCTCACTGCCACTGCACACACACACACATGCACTTTCTCTCACATGCACACACACACGCTCACTCACTCACTCACACACTTTCTCACGCACTCACACATGCACACACACACACACTTTCTCACGCACTCACACTCGCTCACTCATTCACTCACGCCGCGCGCGCTGTGTATGTAGGACCGTGGATTCTTGTGAGCGAACATCAGACAGACTGGCTTGGCGGGTTCTTTGCGTTGAGCGAGGCGTTTGCGGTTCCCATCTTCTTCACGCTCTCCGGGTACTTTACTGAACTGTCGCTGCAGCGCAGTGATGTGTGGGCGTTCTGGAAACACCGCATCCGGCGGCTGTTCGTGCCGCTGATGACCATGCTGCACATTGTCAACCCGACGTGCTTCTACTACGCCTACCGCGTGCACTCGCATGCGCCAGATGCAGCCACGGTTGGGTGGTGGGAGTTCTACACCAGCCACTGGCTGGGCCTGCGGCATCCGCAGCACTTTCAGTGGCTGCACACCGGCCTCAGCGTGCCACTGTGCTCCAAGATCCACATGTGGTTTGTTGAGACGCTGCTGGGCCTCACGGCGGCGTGGACGCTTGCACGACCGCTTGTTGCGCGGGTTGAGCAGCATGCCCGCGCACGCGGCTGGGCGTGCTCCCCAGACACTATGCGCAGCAGCGCGAGTACACGTGATATTGTGGGTGGCGATAGCCGAAACAACAACAACAACAACAACAACAACAACAACAACAACAACAACAACAACAACAACAACAACAACAACAACACTGACAGCAGTTCCAACAGCAGCAGGGATGCTAACAGCTCAGCCATGGTTGTGCTGGATGGTGCGGGGCACAGATTGCGCGATACGAACGGCACACAGGCGCAGCACCAGCGGAGGAGACCTGTCCATAAGCAGCAGCAGCAGCAGCAGCAGCAGCAGCAGCAGCAGCAGCAGCAGCAGCAGCAGCACAGCACGGGTCGCGTGTGGCGCGTGGCTGTGGTTGCTGGTCTCATCACGGGCGCCGTCACGTGGGCCGTCAGGATCCGCCATCCCCTCGACGAGCGACTGGACTTTGCGCTTACATATGTCAAGCCCGCACGCTACCCGCAGTACGTGCTCAACTTTCTGCTTGGTGTTGCATTTGCGCGACTAGGGTGCACGCTCAAGTCCACGCACAGGGCAGAACGCACGTCGCTTGCGGTGGCTGGCGGCTGGACGGCGCTGTTTCTGGTGGGCCGCGCGCATATTGAAGGGAACCACAGCCTCATCTCGGCGTTTAAAGGCGGGTGCACGTGGCACTCGCTGGCGCTGTGCGTGCTAGAGTCTGTTGTGTGCGTGCACGCCACGTTTGGCCTGCTGTCTGCAAGCATGCGGCACGCCAGCTACGAGAACAAGAGCACGCGCAAGATGAGCGGCGCCACCTTTGGCGTGTACATGCTGCACATCCCCGTGGTCATGTTCTGGCAGACGGCATTGCAAGGGTGGCAGGTGCACGGCTCGCTCAAGTGGTTTGCAGTGACGCTGCTCTCTCTTCCGAGCGCCTTTGGCCTCAGCCTGGCCACCCGCTCCGTTCCCCTCGTCTCCTCTTTCCTCGGCATGCACAAGTGATTGTGTGTGTGTGTGATTGTATGATATTGGATGTGATTGTGTGTGTGTGTGTGTGTCTGTGTCTGTATTTGTGTGTGTCTGTGTGTGTGTGTGTGTGTGTCTGTGTGTCTGTGTGTGTGTGTGTGTGTGTGTTTGTGTCTGTGTGTCTGTGTGTGTCTGTGTTCGTTCGTCCGCTTCTGTTTCCGCTTGTGCGCGTGTTTTTGTGTTCACTGTTGCTTCTTGTTTGTGCCCATGTCACTTCGCCCCTTTCTTGCCTGATCTGCAATGCTGATAACCCCCCCCCCAATTCCATGTGTATGCGCACCCGAGACCCCCGAGACACTGCCCTGTTCTTTCGCTTTCGCTTTCCCTACGTTAGGCCGTTCTGCTGACCCCCTCTCCTGATGACCACAATGAAGCCGTGCGCTTTCACGTCGTGCTGTGCGTGTCTATGTGTGTGTGTGTGTGTGTGTGTGTGTGCGTGTGCGTGTGCCTGCTTGCCTGCTTGCCTGTGCGTGAATGTGTGTCTGGGTGTATGTGTGCGTCTCTGTCTGTGTGCGTGCGTTGTCTCTCTCCCTCTCTCCCTCTCTCCCGCTCTCCCTCTCTCCCTCTCCCCTTTTGATCTGTGTGTGAATTACTCGCCCAATCTTAGGTCCTTCCCGCTTCACCCGTTGCTGTTCTTGTCCATCACCTGCTTTGGTCCTTGTGTTAGTGCTCGCTGTCCCTTTTGGCGATGCGCCTCTAACCACACGCCACCCTTCCCTTCTTTGCGTGCCGCTTTTCCCGTTTCCTGTGTTACGCACAATAGCAACAATCTGCAACAAACAACACATGGTGGGTGTGCGAAGCAACATGTGGGGAGGGGTTCTGTTTGATTGTGCGCTTGATGTGACAGAGTCATGGATGTGTCTGTCGCATATGGGGGTCACATGTTGCATGTGCCACACACGACACCTTCATTCACAAGAAGCACAAAAACAAATCGCACCAAAAAGGCAACTTTGCCTTTGTGTCAACAACAAAAGAAAAAAGGCAAAATTGACTTTGAGTGGGTGCACGACAACGGGCGGTGATGCAGGACAACGAGCGGTGGCAGTGCGGGGAGGCAGCCGTGGTCCGTTGCTGGGAGGTGGGCCATCACCGGGGAGAAGCCACACCGACCCTGGCCCGTTGCTCGGGTCGAGACGGGAACGACGGCGTTGCTCATTCAACTCCCGACACCCGCACCGCAACAAGCGCCGAGCTGCGCCAACCAGGTCCCGCACAGTGCAGCCAACCACACTGGCAGACGAAGTCTGCGGTCACTCCAGCAACAGCAACACCCCTGCCACCAGCGCCATGCGCGGCGACGCGAAGGAACAAAGGCAACAAAAGCAACAAGGGAATTGCTCAAGTGCCGCCCAGTGCAATCGTGCACACGCACACACGCACACGCACGCGTGAGCGAGGTCTCCCTGCGCCCACAAAAGGCCATTCATCCATACCCCCGCGCGCACGCACACGCACACGCATACACAGAGAGACACTCGAGTGGCATCTGTGAGCCTGCAGCAGACACTTCCGCTTTGCCAGACCTCGCTTTGCAGCACTGCAGCATATCACGACAACACACACACACAGCCAATCATGATGAAGACGGTTTTTGCACTCGCCTTCCTGGCGTCCATCGCCCTCTGCCGTGAGTGCCGTGTGGTGACGGTACCTGTGCTATCGTTGCAGGGTTCTGCCTTATTGTACTGTGTGTGTGTGTGTGTGTCTGTGTGTCTGTGTCTGTGTGTGTGTCTGTCTGTGTCTGTGTGTGTGTGTGTGTGTGTGTGTGTGTGTGTGTGTGTGTGTGCGAGGGACTTTGGACCTTCTGCTGTGGGACGATTGCATGTGTGCTGTGTGGTGGTTGGTGTTCCTTATGAGAAAGTTGCTTCCATCTCACGCGCTTTGTGCTTTGCACCCAACCAGGCGGTGCGGTGGTTGTGTCGGAGATTGAGAGCTTTGATGTTATTGGCGACTACATTGACCAGAAGACACACGCAAGGGACCCCTGCGTCAGAATCACAAACGCCCACGAGGTACGGTTGGACGTTTGCGTGTTTGCGTGCGTGCGTGCGTGCGTGCGTGTACGTTTGTGAGGATGCGAGTGGAGAGAAGGGGAGACACAGTGCGGATGTCTCTCCTTCCATATGTATGTGTGCGTGTGTGGGTGAGTGTTGACCTGTCTCACGGCCCACGGCTCACGGCTCACGGCTCACGGCTCACGTCAATGCACGCCCATGTACCATCCATGCACAACCCATTTGACGACGCATGCAGGGCTTCCGCTTCAACATTGCCACGGAAGAGACGCTTGTTCCCATTTGCCTGAGCCTGTGCCCCGACAGCCGCCTCGGCTACGAGATCACGGAGGGCTGCGACGAGGAGTGCGATTTCTGCCTGGAGGCCCTGGAGTGCGTGGACGATAACCCGCCAGAGCACCCCGGCAGCTGCCGCGCCATTGTCGACCTCGACTGCGGTCAGTGGTGCATTTTGTGTTGTGTTATGTGTGTGTGTGTGTGTGTGTGTGTGTGTGATGTGTGTGTAATGTGTGATGTGTGAATGTGTGAATGTGTGAATGTGTGTATGTGTGTGTGCCTGTCTGTCTGTCTGCCACAACCCATGACATCTCGTTTCTCGCCCCCACCCCCCTCCACGCACACTCATAACCCGCCCCCCCCCCACACGCATACCTTTCCCTCGTCCATCTCCGCCAACAACACAGACGAGGGTCCGTTCACGTGCCTGCCGAGCAACACCGGCGTGCGCTTCACCCCGGCCGACGTGCCCGAGGGCGTTTCCCAGGCAGATCTCCCGCGCAAGGAGCTTGCCTCTGAGGACGGCTTCATTGCCTTTGTCACGCGCGAGTGGTGCACGGGCAACAACGAGACATTCGACCTCCTCCCCTGCAGCCCCGGCCGTGAGAACTGCCACGCCATGGAGCCCTGCGAGTCTGAGAGCTACGACTGCTGCTACCTCGCATCAAGCCTGGCCCTGTAAGTGTGTCTGCATGTGTGCGCTTCTGTGTGTGTGTCTGTATCTGTGTGTCTGTATTTGTATCTGTATCTGTGTGTGTGTCTGTATTTGTATCTGTATCTGTGTGTGTCTGCCTGCCTGTGTCTGTGTGTCTGTGTGCCTGCCTGTGTCTGTGTGTCTGTGTTTCTCTGTGTGTCGTGTGCACGTCATGAATCCACCCTACTCTCTTGTTCCCTGCCTTGCACTCTGAAAACACACACCACAACACAAAACACGTGCTGCTTCGTCCGCGTGCTTTCCCCCAACCAACCGACTGCGCCACAACTCACTCTCTGTCTCCACCGCCACACACCGCAACATCAAACAGGACGACAACCACCACCACCACCACCACAACCACCACAACTACAACCACCACTACCTCCACAACCACCACCACCGAGGCTGTGACAAGCTCCTTCTTCTTCACAGGCTTTTGAATAAGCATACACACACCTACCACCCTTAACACTGCCCCTTTCTGTTTTGCTGTCCGTCCGTGTGTCGTATCCTCTACTGTTGCTGTGTTGCGGTAGTTGTAATTGTGTCGACTGGGCGTATCATGATGTTATGTACAAGCTGCCTTGGGTGCGCCCAGGGCAACACTCATTCTCGTCTTTTCGTGTTGGCTGGGTGCTGTGGCCCTTGGTCAGTCGCTTCTCCTGCCCTTTCTGTCCTGTGGTTCCCCTTTTGCGTGTGCGCCTCTTTCTCTCTTCCCGTCCCTGTGTATATGTGCCTGTTGCAGTTCGCACCCACCACCGTATTTGCCCAGTGCATTGGTGTTCTCCCAGCTTGATGAGGCTCCACCTCACGGCTTTTGGTTCGTGGTTTTTTGGTGTGTATGGAAACCAATGAAGACAACATATGAAACATCCATGTTGAGAGAACAAGTTGCTGTGTGGAATGAAACAATATCGCCACACAGAGTGTCAAAATCATGCGTGCACACCATTGTGTTCCTGTGTCACACACATAACGTGCTCGTGTTGGTGCTCAGTGCTGTTTGTTGGTTTTTTTTTTTAATTTGTGGTTCAACACGCGAATAAGCCTCGTTGGGTTATCACACGGCTAACCCAGGTTGCAAGGACAAGGCAAGACACACAGGACACTGGCCGCAAGTGAACAGACACAACATACGCTGCACATCCACACACACGAACACACGCACAACCCCCGCCCTCAACCGACCAAGTTGACCAGCAACAAGGCCTGACGACAACAGAGACTGCAGTGAACACGTGAAGGGAGGCCACGCTAAGAAGGAACGTCAACAAGCAACGCAGCAACCAACATGCCGCCTCGTCCAAAAAAAAGCGCAACGAGGGAATAAATATGCCGGTGACGAGTGCATTACTGTGCTACGACCATAAGCTGCCACGCCCGGTTCCGCTCAGCTCACCGTGGGGCCAGGCCCACGGCGGCGTCAACGCTAGCACAGGCATGACAGCTGGCGCCCGTTAGGGCCGACACTTTCTGCCCCTGTCGGCAAACAAAGAAAGTAAAAGAAAGGGGAAAAGAGGGGACAAGCGGTAGGGTAATGTGTTGTGTTGTGTAAGAGAGTGGGTGAGTGGGTGAGTGGGTGAGGAGATGAAGAATTGCATGGTGTAAACTTTGAGGCGCACACGCATGAGAACAGATGCAGTTCACACAAACAAGCCACACACGAGCACACACACACACACACACACACACACACACACACACACACGAGCACACTGTGCGTACCGTGTCCGAGGACTTTCCCCGAAGCCGGCAAGCAGCACTGCTGCTGCCGTTATGAGAGCAACAATCGTCTCTCCGTTTGTAGCTTCGATGGCACTCCTGCATGGGAAAAAAGGGGAGGATGGAGGGGAGGGAAGCAAAAGAAGTGGAAGTGGGAGGATGGTGGTGAGATAGACGGTCAAAACACAAAAACAGCAACAACAAACTCGAACAAGCAGAACAAGGCACACACCAATCCCCCTCATATCCATCATCCCATCTTGGCCCACGTGTTGTTGGCTCTCGTACCTCGCGTGTTGAACTGATCATATCTCGCTGTCAGCACACGCACATATTTTTTCGTGGAACACGCCACACTATTTTTTGCTTTGCCGAAAACTCGTGTCTATCTTCGTCAAAACCACACTACGACTTAATTCAGTTTACGACAAACGACAGACAGAAAGAAACTTGTGAGGATGATGATGATGCAGCGTTTTGTGGGTGGCTTTGTGGTGGCTGTGGCTGTGGCTGTGCTTGTTGTCGCTGGCAGCGGCAGCGTCGCAGTTGCGGTTGAAGGCGAAAATGCCAGCGCGATCCGACCCACCGTGTTGTGGCACGGCATGGTGCGTACGTGAGTGGGTGGGTGGGGGAGGGGGGGCTAGGTGTGTGGGTGTGTTGTTGTTGTTGTTGTTGTTGTTGTTGTTGAAGTTGTTTAAGTTGTTGTTTATTAAGTTGTTGTTGTTTAAGTTGTTGTCGTTGTTGTTGTTGTTGTTTAAGTTGTTGTCGTTGTTGTTGTTGTTGTTTAAGTTGTTGTTGTTGTTGTTGTTGTTGTTTAAGTTGTTGTTGTTGTTGTTGAAATTGTTGTTGAAGTTGTTGTTGTTGTTGTTGTTGTTCTCTACTTGTTTGTATTCTTGTGTGTGTGTGTATGTGCTTCGTCTTTGCGCAACAAGTTCACGGTTCAAGCCTCACTCAACGATGTTTGGCTTTCCACTGCTCCAATGTTGGCTTGCTTGTGTAGGGTGACACGTGCTGCCTTCCATTTTCCATGGGCGCCGTGAAGAAGGAGATTGAGAAGCACCTCCCAGACATCTACGTGTACAGGTGCGTTGCATGTACTGTCTGCATGTTTTCGCGCCTCTTCTTTTCCTTCCCACTGCCACTTATTCTCCATTCATCTGCGTTTCACGCCTCATCCCCGCTTTGCATCCTCTGCTGCCACTCCCCTTCACCCACACATGCGCGCGATCACCTGGCAGCATCATGCTTGGCAAGAACGAGATTGAGGATGAGTTTGAAGGCTTCTTCGGCAACGTCAACACGCAGGTGGACAACATCTGCACCAAGGTCAGCCACGCCCTCATACACCGGCCCTACGATCGCCGCCCCCTGCTTGTGCCAGGGACATACAAACCGCGATTGCTGCGCGCCATCTGACGACTGTGTAACAATGTAACGCCCCGATTCCTCTTCACGTACACCTGCAGCTGAAGAGCGATCCAAACCTCAAGAATGGCTTCAACGCCGTCGGCTTCTCACAGGGCGGGCAGGTGTGTGTGTGTGTGTGTGTGCGTGTTTGTTTGTTTGTTTGCTTGTTTGTTTGTGTGTCTGTGTGCGTGTTTGTTTGTGTGTGTCTGTGTGCGTGTTTGTTTGTTTGTTTGCTTGTTTGTTTGTGTGTGCATGTTTGTTTGTGTGTGTGTGTGTGTGCGTGTGTGCGTGTGTGTTTTTGTTTGTTTGCTTGTTTGTTTGTGTGTGTGTGTGTGTGTGTGCGTTTGTTTGTGTGTTTGTTTGTTTGCCTGTTTGCTGGCTTGTGTTGACGTGCCTCTTGCCCTTTTTGTTTGCTTGTTTGTTTGTTTGTTTGTGTTCGCATGTCCTCCCATTCTGTGCATGCTCACACATCATCTCCTGTTTCCCTTGCCGCGTTCGCCCATGTGCTGCAGTTTCTGCGGGCATACGTGCAGCGCTGCAACGATCCTCCCGTGCACAACCTCGTCACCCTGGGCGGACAGCACATGGGTGTGGTACCTTCACACACCCGTGCCGTGCTCGTTGTGCTCGTTGTGCTCGTCGTGCTGTTGTCGCTTGTTTGCTGTGTCTGGATTCGCGGTCCTCACTGTGCGCCAGCTCTGCGCCGCAATGCACAGCATCTGCTCAATCGCGTTTGTTGCTTGCTTGATCGTGCCATGCCATGTATGTGCCACCGCATACACGTTGTGTCATGACATGACACCATGCAACAGGTGTGACGGACATCCCCCATTGCACCGCCACCAACGCCACTCTGTGCCAGCTCATGGCCGAGGCCCTCAGCGTCGGGTGCGTGTCTGTGTATCTGTGTGTCTGTGTGTGTATATGTGTGTCTGTGTGTCTGTGTGTGTGTGTGTGTCTGTGTATCTGCGTTTATCTGTGTCTGTGTGTCCGTGTGTGTGTGTCTGTGTGCGTCGCTCTCTGTCTGTGTGTGTCGCTCTCTGTCTGTGTGCGAATTTGCCTGTCCTCGCTGTTGTGATTGCACGTGTGCGTTGCCGTGTCACAATACAACCCAACCAATGTCCTTTGCCACTGCTCACCCACTGCGCCTCTCCCCGGTGCACTGCCTCGCCCATACAACCCTCACCCACGCCATCCCCGCCTCTGCTTCTTTTCTCCTCTCAGCGCATACGTTGACGGCATTCGCAACTACAGCGTGCAGGCGCAATATTTCCGCTCCGCCTTTGAGTACAAGGTGCGAAGGGTGTGGCGTGTCTCTGTCTGGATGTGAATGTGTGCGTGTGTGTGTATCATGTGTGTGTGTATCTGTTGTTCTCTGTGTATATCATGTGTGCGTGCATGTGTGTGTGCGTGTCTGCTGTTTTGTGTGTTGAACTGCCTGCTTGGCCACCGGCTGATGTCCACTCTCGCCCCCGAACATACACAAACGCACCCTGCATGCTTCTTCCCCCGCCCCTTCGCTGTCGAGCAGAAGTACCTTGAGAAGAATATCTTCCTCGCGGACCTGAACAACGAGCGGGCCACGAAGAACGCCACATACAAGCAAAACCTCGCCTCCCTCAACCGCTTCGTCCTTATCGAGTGCGCATGTTTGTGTGTGTGTGTGTGTGTGTGTGTGTGTGTGTGTGTGTGTGCATCTCTGTGTGTGTGTGTGTGTGTGCATCTGTGTCTGTGTGTGTGTGTCTGTGTGTGTGTGTCTGTGTGTGTGTATGTGTGTGTGTCGGTGTCGGTGTCGGTGTGTGTCTGTCTCGGTGTCGGTGTGTGTGCGCGCGACTGTCCATCTGTCTCTCTACCTGCCTGCCTGTCTGTTTCTCTGCCTGCCTGTCTGTCTGCTTGTCTCTGCTGCGTGCGTGTCTCTTTGTGCTGTGCGTCTGCGTGACTTGAACACCGCTTTATGTCACCCCCTTCACCCTACAATACCTCCAACACCTCGCCCGCCTGACTGCACGTGTTCAGGTTCTCTGAGGATACGATGGTGGTGCCACGGGAGAGTTCGCAGTTTGGGTACTTCAAGGAGGGCGCGATGAAGGAGATTGTGCCCATGCGCCAGCAGCCCATCTACACCGAGGACTGGATTGGTCTGCAGCAGCTCGACAAGGACAACCGCATCGTCGAGAAGGTGGACTGTGTGTGTGTGTGTGTGTGTGTGTGTGTGTGTGTGTGTGTGTGTGTGTGTGTGTGTGTGTGTGTTTG